CACCTCAGGGAGAAGGATGGTACAAATGAATCACCTCAGGGAGATGGATGGTACAAATGAACCACCTCAGGGAGAAGGATGGTACAATTGAACCACCTTAGGGAGGATGGTACGATTGAACCACCTCAAGGAGAACAAATAAACCATCTCAGGGAGAAGGAAAACATTAATGGACCACCTCAGGGAGAAGGAAGACATTGATGGACCACCTCAGGGAGAAGGATGACATTGATGAACCACCTCAGGGAGAAGGATGGTACAAGTGAACCACCTCAGGGAGAAGGATGGTATGAGTGAACCACCTCAGGAAGAAGGACGACATTAATGAACCACCTCAGGGAAAGGATAACATTGACGGACAGCCTCAGGGAGAAGGAGGACATCAATGGACCACCTTAGGGAGAAGGTTGGTACATATGAACCACATCAGGGAGAAGGATGATATTAATGAATCACCTCAGGGAGAAGGATGATATTAATGAACCACCCCAGGGAGAAGGATGGTACAAGGATGGCATCTATCCATTGTGCTGATCATTCTTAAAGGTAACTAAGAAGAAAAAATATACTCTAGGAAATAAAGTCAATGTATTTTGATTATGCGCCTCAATTTCATGAAGCTAATTCCGCGTCTAAGCTTAAAAACGTTCCTATAAAAAAGTGCTTATTGAGTGTGACGTCATTATAGCCACTTGATATCACCATTTTGGGTTTTGTACATGGTTTACAGTAGTTTCTGATGATTTCGCTCTATTTTATTTCTATCACTCGTTTGACCAATGATTACTAAAGAAAAAATATATATTCATTAAATAATTTACAGGAAATATTTTCTTTGTACTTTATAGGAAATCGTACATTATTTCTTTTCTCTATTATCGATTTCCTATATCCTTTCACCTTCAACATGTATGCGAATTACTACTCTAGATCATTACTCATTGTCTTTAATTGTCTTTTCGATCCAATCAACAAAGCGCTCCACCCTAGTATAGTAGCCGTATTTTCCTACAAGTCCGCACCCCTCCCCCCACGAGACTACACCTGTAGCTACCCATCTGTATACGCCATCACGAAGTGCCTCTCTGACAAAGCTTCCACCGCTGTCTCCTTTACACGTATCGTTACCACCCTTGCCATCTCCCGCGCAGAACGTCACTTCCGAGTTAAAATAAAATTTTGTTTTATTGTCACAAAGTTCGTTCGTTTGTATGGTAAATGCTGAATGCCTAAGTACTTTTGAAGATGCCTTTTTCTTTTTTGGATTTTCTCTGAGCTCAAGAACCTGAGTTGCGCCCCATCCTGCAACAATTCCAAAATGTCCTGGTTCAAGCAACGACTCGTTTTTTCTTGGTAGACAAACCGTGCGTACTGATGGTCCTAGTTTTATGTCTTCGCGGAGTTGTATAAGCGCGATGTCGTTCTCGATGAACGGAACGTCTCTGTAGTTTTGATGAATGAATATGTCTTTGGCCGTGACGTCTTGTTGTGTTGGTTCTTTGAATGTAAGGTGGTGATCGCCTGCTCTAACCGTATATCTGTCAAAATATGATGATAGTAAAAAATTCAGTTTCAGGCCTTTTTTGCTTATTTACAAGTTTGTTTTGTGAGAGGGCTAGGACTACTGAATACGCCCATAACCATCATTATTAGGGGTATCACATACCAGAACGTCAATGTCTGTCAGCTTGTATAATCTGTCTGTCTGTCTGACTGACTGACTGACTGACTAAAGAATTGATTGACTGTCTGTAGCTTTGTTTTTGACTGCAAGCTGTCACTGTCTGTCAGGCTTTCTCTTTTTTATTATTCGTTAGTTCGTTTGTCAGTTTTCTATATATCTATTTCTTTCTAGAAATGAAATCACAAATGACACTCCTATTAAAATGGTTGTTAAAAATCAATCATATTCTTCTTCAGGTTATTTTTCTCACATTTGTGCCGGGACTACATCCTTGTATCTTTTAAAGGTTACTGGATCCAAAGAGATGAAGCAATGAGCTGCAGTAAGGACCCATCCTGGTTTGATCAGGGCTCCTCCGCACCTCAGTACAAGTTTATCTACGTGAAAAAAGAAATGTTATTTTAAAATGAAAAGAGGGAATAGAATGTTGCAATGGGAAACACAAGGTATCCAGAAAGAAAACCCAGCGATCTTTGGGTCTTTGGGTCTTTGTTTTTGGTAGCACAACTAATATAATCTTTGCAAGCCTAATATGTTGGTTGAAAAATAACCCCCACCCTCCCCCATCCCATCCCATCTCCCACGATAAGTTACGGGTTGGTTGGGCGAGCACCCCCCCTCCCCATCAATCCGTGAATTATGAATGATCCCTAATAAATGCATATCTTGATTTCAGGAAAATCTTCCTCCAATACATACTGGTATTGTCAAGTTTGTGTATTCCAACTTGCCAAGGCCAGTTTCCTCGACCAGCTTTGTTCCCGCCAACGATTCTGGCACGTAGATTGACAGGACTAAACCCACAAGGTGAGTAGTCTGTTGTTAAAGTAAAACATTATTAATAGGTCTTCATTCTTCTTAGGTTCTAATAAAACAATCCAGTTAATTACTTCTTATAATACATTGTTCAAAATCCGTGATTTCTTAAAACGTGTTTCTATACTGATAAAGGAAAAACCCCTCAACTTTTGTCAAATCCTAAAACAACCTCTGGGCTGATCTAAGTCAGGGCACGACTAACTCACAGATCGAACCCTGAAACAACCTCTGGGCTGATCAAAGTCAGGGCACGACTAACTCACAGATCGAACCCTGAAACAACCTCTGGGCTGATCAAAGTCGTGGCATAGCTAACTCACAGATCGAACCCTGAAACAACCTCTGGGCTGATCAAAGTCAGGGTACGACTAACTCACAGATCGAATTGGAATTTAGAATGTAGATTTTGCGCGGAGAGGAAAACCGATGAACCCAGAGAAAAACCCTCGATCAAAGGGAGAGACCTAACGTACTCAATAAGATGTGAACTGAATTTGAGACCCTAGAGGTGAGAGGCAAGTGCGCTAGTGCTACACACAGGAGACTTACCTATTTTTATATCTACAACTTGTTTTACTGCATGAAGCAACTCTTTGTATTTCCGCACAGAAATCACATGTTCGTCCTCCGGTTCAGATGCGATTTCCATTAATTCTCTTCTCATTACTTTCTTTCCAACACCAATAGCGTAAATTTCGAATTCTTTCTCATCGCGTAAAAATTTGGCCGCTTTTCGCGGGCTTCCGCCAATGTTCGAGTGCCCGTCTGTTATGAAAAATAGCACTTTTTGGCTACCTTTGCGAGTGAACGGGACAATAGCATTTCTGACCAAGTCCAAGGCTGGCCTACTTGCAGTTCCACCGCCCGCTCGTTTGATTTCGCCTATTCTTTCCATGGCCTTTTTGGCTGAGTTCACAGAGGCGTCTCCCAGGTTGAATTCGATCCTAGCGTTGGTGCCGTATGTAAGGGCCGCCACGTGCGTTCCTCCTGGCCTGAAAATAGGAAGACATTGCAGCGTTTTGTTGATTTGATTGAACATGTTGTATTTGTAAACACTTAGATGTACTTCAATTTCGTTTATCCATCCATCAATCTATTTCTCATCTATCAGGGATGCATGCCAGACATGCCAGGAATGCCAGGCAAAATAAAAAACCCTGACTCCCGCGCGCCATTATCCTTAACTTACTTCCAAGTGCTCCCCAACAGCTTCACCAGTTCTTGGGCAAAGCGTAGTCCAAGTTGAAAGTCAGGTTTCCTGATGCTACTTGATGCGTCAAAGACAAAAATGAGGTCCAGTCCCCCGGCGTGGTTAGGATTTATTGCCCGCGCTCTCATGTCAACAGCTGTCAAATTGCAAGTAGAATTTACCCCGGAGCAAGTGTATTCTAACATTTTGTCGATATTTTGCCTTAAAATCTTGGCTGTGCTGTTGGAGTCTCGTACCATGTACTCAAAGTCGTCTATCAAGGAGAAAACGGTCAACCTGGTTAGTTGGTTTTTCGGTTTTATTAGTAATGTCTGGTTGAATGCTCTAATGTGTGTTGATGATGTACGTCAATCATAAATTGAGTTGCATTTCGACGTACTGCAAGGGTAACAGCCTATTTAGTTTGTACTCACTCATGCATTTGGCTTCGGTTCCATTCCACGTGCCATCTTTCTGACACTGTCTGACTGAAGAGCCAACAAGAACATACCCTTCTTTGCACGAGAACTTCACGAACGAACCGATATCATATCGATTGCCTTTCTTCGTGCCGCTGATAGGGGTACCAAGCTTAGGGCAGTGCGAATCTGGATTATAAAGGAAATACGTTATTAACAAAACTGAATATAAAAACCAAGATAAGGTTTGCAGAACCGTTTGATTCCTTTTTTGGCGTCAACCGGCAACCATCTATGTAATCATCAATTTTTTCGAGTCTTGAAACAACCTCTGGGCTAATTAAACTCATAGGGTCGAATTAGAATTTGTCATGTTAGGTTTTGCAGAGACATGCAATCAAGGAAAAATATCTACCTACATGGAATTCCGAGTCCAAGGTTTTATTAACCATAGAGGTGAGAGGCGAATGCTCTACCCCACCCGAAAGAAATTTTTTATTATTGCTATTGATACGATTTTTTCAAGATTTAGAGTGACAGAAAGACGTCTAAGTACTTACGCCCATCGTCGCACACAGCCAGATTTCCACTCCACATTCTATTTTTAAGGCAGACTCGAGTAGATGAGCCAAGAAGTTTGAATCCTGACTGACAATGGAATCGAACTGTTGCACCAACTGTGAACCTACTGCCGATGCGACGGCCGTTTACGGGGATCCCAGGATAAGGACACCTAATGGCTAAAAAATTACAAGGAATGTATCAATGGACACTGCATTATGAATAAATAAGAAAAGTGTCTTTAAACCCATAGGTAACTCACAATTAGGCCTTTACCGTGGCTTGTGGATGACCACGTCAACTTAAAGACTCAAATAAACTGTTCAAGAAACTTTTTAGATAGTTTTTAAGCCTCAACTTGTTTCAAGTATTTTGGTAACAATCATTCACACATAAAATCCGCTTGTACTTTATTGTCTTACGTTTGCAGTATGGCAGACTGTAAGAACTCCATTTACTCCCAATGCATGTTATGGTATCTTGACCAGAGAGCTCGTAATCGTCATTGCACTGGAATACAAGTGTTGCTCCATGGCGGTAGTTGGGGTCTGTTGTGGTGATCGTTCCATTCCGAATTCGAAGATTTTTTGCCGATGTACAGCGTTGTACTGAGAAAGGAAAGTAGAGTGCATGTTTTTGTGCAAACTATTTAGAACTTCAAAAAAGAAAGCGTTCAGTGATGTGAGAGATGAGACAAGAGAGATATTGGAATAACAGAACATGTCAAAATAAGAAGGAAAGAAAGATAGGAAGGAAGGAAAGAAGGGAAACGACGCAAGAAAGGAAGCAAGAAACAAAGGAGAGGAAAAGACGAAGGAACGAAGGGAAAGAAGGAATATAGGGAAAGAAGGGACGAAAGGGAAGGAAGGTATGAAAAATGAGAATGAGAATAAAGATGAAAGCACTTAAATTTTTTGAATAGGATGTAAACTAAGGATAACATTAATAGGTAGTACGTGTATATAAGCCTTCTTAGACAAGATACCGAGGGAAAAACTACCTAGGAGTACTTACTCATGCATTTAGGTTTCTTTGTCCATTTTCCGTTGATTTTACATCTTCTGAAATTTCTTCCTTTCATTCGGTAGCCTTCTTGGCATCTATACCTGACGATGCTATTATATGTGAAACTTGGCCCATTGAAGTTAGCATGAGGGATTGGAACCGGTTTTCCACAAGAAATTACTGGAAATCGCATAAAAAGGTAAATGAAAACAGACTTGTGGATGGATGAAAGAACGAAAGAAAGACAGGATAGATGGTTTTGGTTGGTTGCTTGAAAGTGTGAATGGATAGGAGGGTGGGCAGAAGGAAGAATGGGTGGATGGATGGATGGATGGATGGAT